TATTCATATTTGCATTAAATTTGTACAAAATTTATTTTTAATTTGCATGTTGATATACCATATATTGTTCTTAGAGATAGAGATTTATGTGTTTAGTTTGAATGTAAATATGCAATGAAGTTTAGATTCAGTAGAAGTTCTATTTTAGATTGTGCTGATGAATAATTGTTGATTCCTTTGAAAAACATAATTCGAACTCTGTCTTATGTATTATATAAGAATTTCTATTATATACAAACTAAAGGACAGGCATTTGGTGATTGTGCAAGAACAATATTTGGATCATAGATTTCATAGTACTCGCGTTGTTTCTTTTATACGGTATTATTTCCTTATTAATCAGTTTTAAAAGAACGTCAGCTTTCTATCTATGAAAACAATTTAATTTTAAACTTCGCCATTTGTCTCCAATAACATGATTTTTTAGTCACAGTAATCTATTGCTTGTTTACAACCAATATATATTCTGGAGGTTCTAACATTTCCATCACAAAAAAAAGGCAGCACATAATTCAACTAGAAAATAAATTGGCAATATTGTATACCTTTACGGGATTGCAAATACAGTGAGACCGCCAATTTTAAATTATATTTGTGCAGAGTAGAAATCCAAAGTATAATAAAAAATAAAAGAGATTACCAACTTCTAATAGTTGAGGCTTCACTCATTGATCGCTTTCAATCACGTTTACGATTGGTTTAACATATGAATATAAATAGAATACAATTACATTTTTTTCCATTTTTTGGTTTTGTTTTTTGAGTCTACTTTGGAGAGGAATTCCTGGGAATTATCCATGAAACTAACTGATGCTCCTAGTAAGTGTGGAATAGGATTATTTAGCAATTGGTATTCAACTACAGTACATTGTAGAGCATGACTATCAGCTTTGTAGTACGTAGTTTAAAAAATGGAACTCGAGTTTTAGTTGAATACGATACTCTTCGTGAAAAATTTAGTTACTTGATTTGTTTTGTGGAAAATATTGACCGTTGGGAGTATCTTTGGTCCCAATATTCCGGAGAGAAAAGGGGAGAGATGAGAGAAAAAAGGAAAATGGTATAACTAAATCCCTTTATTGAAGGCACTAATAATGGATTGGGAGCCTTTTAAGGTGGAATGTATATAATTTGTAAGTAATCCTTGTTTAGGGCGGATAATATACAAAATTAGAATAATTTTGGTAAATAAGTTTCAAATATTGTATAGGATGGAAAAAATAAAATATTTTAGTAATGTAAGCCCATTTTTCTTACACTATATGTATAATATTATTTGCAATTTACTTTATCCTTCTTTTCACATCAAAGTTTATTATACATTATGCGTATTTTCATTATCTTTTGACCTACTCATTTGGTTTAACTCACATCATCTTTTTTTAGGTACCTTAATTAAGAGAAAAAAACTTACTTATATCCGATCTTTACACCATATAAATACACTATGAATTAAGATGATAATATGCATGCACTAACTAGTCATGATAACTAATGTATGCAAAAGACATTAATTATATATTTAATAGGTTTTAGTATAATTATCGAGTATGAATAAAAAATCTTTAATCGTGTAGTAAATATGGTATGGTGTAGTAGTTGTGGCCTAGCGCTTGGGAAAATTAGTTAACGTTTTTATCAAGGATGAAATCAGGAAAAACTCGAACACTCATTATGATTATTTCATTCATTTTTCATTTATATGACATTCTTTTTCATTCTATAGTGTATATAATTTCTAACATCACTTTACAAATAAGATTATTTTATATGAGTAAAACTTTTACAAGTTTCACATCTTTTAATTAAACTCAGCTCATTGATATATTTACCTTAAACTTTGATGTGATTCTATTCAATAAAAAAAATTATGACGTAACTAGGGAAGACTCCATTCGAAAGCCACTAAATGAGTTCGTCGCAGAGCAGATTCATAAATTTAATACTTAATTTTCTCCCATTATTATAGGTCAAACAAGTTAAAAATCATTATATAAACTAAACGGAGGAGAATTGTACGTTACATGATTTAGGTGAATGGAGAATGTTTCTAAACTCTCAACACTGCAAATACTGGTCAATATCTTATCACTAGAATAATGTGGCACATCATTTTATTCCTACGAATTCCAAGGACCCTGACCAGTTGAGCTGCATGACGCAAATCACACATGATAGTTATCTAACTTTGGATCTTAACTCGTAATATTATAATTCGAATTTGAATATCTATGTTGAAATCAAGTTCTACTACTCTTTAATTTCAATAAATCAAGTCTTACTATTCTTTAATTTCAATCGTTCTAATTTCAAATAGTTCATATAACAAATTGTAAAGTTTTATGTTCCACAGCAATCAACTTGAGTTGAGGTTCCACATGCATACGAAGATAATTAGCAATGTTCGTTCTCTATCCAATTCAGTTGTCTCACATTAAATGCTTTTATTAACTTTGCCAAAAATACAGTAAATTCGGAGGTTGAATATAGGAACCGTTAAACACATTGTTCAACAAGATGAGTCATCATTGTTTCAAATAGGACCCACAGGCTTTTTATAATAAACGAAGAACGCTGTATATAAATGATAAAAATTTAACCATCCAATATTTATACCAAAGTATATTAATTTATTATAATTAAGTGATAAAGTCAATGTAAAATACATATTAATTAATTATAATTTAATAATGATTATATGCGTGAAATATATATCATGTATTTATTAAATTGATATAAATACCTAATGCGCGTGAGCATTTACCGTCCATATGACGCCCAACTTTGTTTGGCAATTCCGACCAAATGGCTGCATTCTCAGACACAGAACGGAAAATTGGGCCATTGTCGGCCATAACCTATATATTATATAAAATCTCACCTGAGGAGCAAGTGCACAGATAACCATATTCAGGAATGTTATTTTGAAATTAGTCAGTACTTATTTTATCCTGAAATTCTAAATTAAAAATCTTAATTTCTAGACAATTTAGAATATTTTTATCCCGAAAAATTAAACTGGAAAACTAAAATTTAGGACGCAATGGCTAATTCTTAAATAGCACCCGTTAGAGTAGCTACCTGAATATGTTTACTTCAAAATAGAAGGCAACAATTTCTTTTGTGCCTTTTATGCAAGAACTGCTCAGGACTAACCATAATCATATTCAACAGACCAAGGACTATGCTATTGAATTAAATGAAATTGGTATTGATAGAAAGCATTGCAATCTATCAATAAATTCTAGGTTCATAAATTAATGATCATACTCCCTTCATTCCAAGTTATTTACACACCCGTCCTTTTGGGACATCTTAACATGCCTGGTATACTTCAATGAGAGCACAAAAACTCAAAAATTCTAAATTCTATTCATAAAAGTCGCAACTTTAGATTAACCCTTTGCACAAAATGACTTAATATTCAAACTACGAAGTTATCTGGCTCGAATATTAGTCGTTCATTTATTCACCTAAGAAAAATTAAAGGCAGAGGTTGTGCAGTGGCTTGTTTCTCAATTTGATTGGTGAGAAGTAAAAGACCACGACATAACAGAGATTTAAGTTTTATACTTGAAAATATAAGAAGGAAGTCCGGCTAGGACCTATACTTTCAGTTTCACACAAAAGAGCAAACTCAGAACACAAAGCAAATATCTTAATCATGTTGAATTAAATGAAGCAGAGAGCCATTACCGGTGATATTTGTAACTTAACTGCATTTGCCACTCTTGTTACGGACCACAAATACAAGCAAATGAAACTTCAAAGTACAATTGATAAAAATTTAAGTACAAGATTAGCACTTCTCACCTTGAACTTCAGTGGATACAACCAATTTTGAGTGGAAGTGCATGGAAATTCAGCTGAGATCCATTAAAAAACTAGATGGGAGATTTGCCACAAACTGCATTTTGTTCACTACGCATTTAACTTGCAGATTCTAACAGAATACCTTTTTCCATCTCCTCCGGTATTGCAGCTATCAATGTAAAGGTTGGTTCTTCGTTCTAGAGAATGAAAGCTAACTGGAATGAACCAGATGCAAGGTTCTACTAGATCAGTTTGTTACTTATGATGAGGCTGAAAAGAGAAATATTTTATACAGGGATAGAGTGACAACTTGGGGCAAGTTCTATGCTGCTAACACAAGTGTTGGTGGGCGGTAGAGGGCCTTTGACACAGACAGATTTCCCCATGGATGAGTGAAGCATAGTGGAACACAAGGATGTGATCGGCCTCGGAGGTATTAGCCCCTTGTGTCAGTGTGATGGTCTAATCTCTCTTTATGGGAAAATACATATCATCAGAAAGCCAATTGGAGACTGCATGACTACTCCCTTTCTTTTACTGCATATCATGAATATAATAAATAATATAATACTTATTTCACTCATCTCAATAGCAACACAGCTCTTTCCCGTGCTGTTACTAAAAGATTATCATTAACTAGTGATCCCCACATAAACCTCAGCTACCAATTCACACTTTAGAAGACATATAGATCCTCTCATTGATTATCGTGCCGCAGCAACTCAGGAAATTGAATTTAGGACTAACTAGTTTAAATTTTGGCTGTTCACTGATGTAAGCACCAAAAATTACAACAGAAAGGAAATCAAATAGAACTTTAGATAAAGCCTAAGAGTGCTAGTTGTGCCGCATGCGGAGTTAGATTTATTGTCAGATGTCTACACTTTTACATTGCAATACAGTGTGCACCTTATCTCTTCTCAATGTGCCTTGATTTTCTGCTCTTCATGATGATCCCAATCTCATACAGTTCGTAACTGAAATCTTCTTGCATCCTCAAGTCTTTGCAGTATTATTCTGTCCAATTTAATAGACGAGGTATACCTCCCCTTTCTTACCATGCATATAATCATTTCATTAGCCCTAAGAAGTCAATTAAGATTCGGGATAAGAATTCAATAACGTAAGTGGTTATTTTGGCTATTCGAAAAGTATCATATCAGTTACATAACAAATATGACTCTAACTTATATAAATGGGTCACTAATATATTATTGAAAGCAAAAATGATTCTTTCAGCCAACCATCAGAACTAAAGATCTTCTGAGTTCGAGTGGCATCGCGTGATCAAAGATAACAAGAAAAATCCTAGCAGTATTCTAAGCTTAGTTAAAAGTGGAACAGAAAAGTCATTCAAGTAAAATACTGTAATAGAAGTGTCAACGAGAACAAGACAAAAGAAGTTACATTTCAATATTGTGATCAATTAATAATGACGTGAAATAATTGGCTTAGTATTAACATTTGCTTAACAATGTAGCAGCCTCATCTTGAAAAACTTTCCAAGCTGCAAGAATGTGCCTCTCTTCTGTCAGTGGGGCCCCTACTGCAAGGCGTAGTATGTATCTATTTGAAAGAACCTGCACAATTTTTTGACATTAAGTAAGATATATATTATTAAATTACTGAAGATCTATTTAATCTCCAATTCTGAATCGAAAACAAGGTTATCAGGAAATAGTTGGCAAAATTCAAACATACCGTGTGAGAAATAAACAATTTCCCAGTTGAGTTAACAGCATCTAGCAGGTCATGGTTCAGTTTATTGGCATAATCTTCATTACTCTGAGGTGGTCGTAAGCGAAAGCAAACCAAAGAGAACTTCCGAGGGGTGACAATCTGCAGCCAATGAATTTCTCAGGGGACAGATTTCTTATATAGAAAGAGATATTAGGACTCTTTTGATACAAACAATAATAAGTGTCTATCATCTCCCAAAAAAGAAAATGCTATCAAAAATGAATCAACAAATGGGTATAATGCTGTACAACAATACATGGTTTAGTCAAAAAAACAAGTCTCCATTGCACAATCATGTTTTCATTTAGTTAAAACCAGAAGTTCTCATTCTAATGATCATCGTTACAATTCAAGGATCACCATGTTGGAAGTAGGGAAAAAACAGCTTTCTTAAAGTTGGTAAATGGTAAATACTACAGGTAAGACCAACCAACGTTTCTGTCATCCAACATTCTGCATATACGGGATAAATTGATAGGATGGCAGCCCCATAACTTATCCCGGACCCCAAGATTTTAGGGAAGGGATTCAAAGCTAACGAGGCTTGAACATGAGATCTTATACAAAGTTTGAAACCCCGTAACTGTTATTGTTGTTAGAATATGTATATATGTAATTAGTCCTAATCCCATATGTAGGAGTAGATGTATTATATATAGGGCTCATTGTATCATTGCTAATATATCAATAATATTTTTTCCGTGTATTATTTCTTACATGGTAACGGAAAGGCAATGAGAAAACACCCGGGAAAGAAAACCCAGCCAAAACAGTCGTCGTGCTTCAATTCCGACGACCTTTATAGGGCGCGTCCCACCTTTTTCCTTGGTGTAGTGCAAAATCCAACACCACCATAAGGTTCCCAAGAAAGAGGCGACCATACCCCAGAAAGATTCTCCGGCAAAGACCTCTCGACGTGCCCCCACGCGCCTGTCGGAGATCTGTTTCCAACAGCACGTCTGCCTCACGCGCCTGAGCGCGAGGCTAGTTCCGGCCAGATTTTGAAAACATTTCTTTTGGACAGTTTGATCGCCTAGTAATTCCGAGCCTACCCATAATATTCTCTTTTTATTCCGATCAAAGTTTGAAACCTCGTAACTATTATTGTTGTTAGAATATGTATATATGTAATTAGCCTAATCCCATATATAATAGGAATAGATGTATTATATATAGGGCTCATTGTATCATTGTTTATATGTCAATAATATTTTTTCCGTGTATTATTTCTTACATGGTAACAGAGCAGCAGTGAGAAAACACCCAGGAAAGAAAACCCAGCCAAAACAACCGTCGTGCTTCAATTCCGACGATCTTTTTAGGGCGCGTTCCCACCTTTTTCCTTGGTGTTGTGCAAAATCCAACACCACCACTAGGTTCCCAAGACAAAGGCGACCATACCCCAGAAAGATTCTCTGACAAAGACCTCTCAACGCGCCCCCGCGTGCCTGTCGGAGATCTGTTTCCAACGGTGCGTCTGCCTCACTCGCCGGAGCGTGAGGCCTATTCCGGCCAGATTTTGAAAATATTTCATTTGGACAGTTTGATTGCCTAGTAATTCCGAGCCTACCCATAATATTCTCTTTTTATTCCGATCACTTTTAATTTTTTGCGGCACCCGGCAGACACAGTGTTTCCCCTGTTTCAGCGAGATACAATTGATTATTTTTGTAATTTGTTTCTAGACCTCTCCAATCCAACGATGTCTTTGGGATTTAATATATTTGGTTCCAAAAAACACGAGTTCCGGAAATTCATGATTACTTAAGAGCTCTTAATGGGAAGTTCAAACTAATTAGCTTGGGCTTCCTATGTTGAATCGCGGTGCAAGGGTCAAGGTGTTCAAGATCACTTAACCAAAAAGGCTAGTGAGGGAGATGAAAAGGCCAAAGCACTTAAGGAAAAGATTGATGCTCAATTATGTAGTATTTTGTGGCAATCTAATGATCCCTAACTGATGCCCTTGTTTCGTCCATTCCAAACATGTTACTCTCTCTGTTCCAGTTTATGTGAACCTATTTCCTTTTTGGTCCGCTCCAAAAAGAATGACCTCTTTCTAAATTTGGTAGCAATTTCGCTTAAACTTATAATTCTACCCTTAATAAGAAGCTTTTATAACCACACAAATACTCTGGGTCCTTTTTTGACTTGTTTAGGACCATAAATTCCAAAAGTCTTTATTCTTTCTTAAACTTTGTGCCCAGTCAAACAAGTTCACATAAATTGGAACGGAGGGAGTATTTAGTTTGAGAAAAAGCTCGCAATACATACACTAATGACTATCTTGTTTCTATGATGTGATATCGTGAATGACAAGCTTGAAGAAATAGGAATTGGATATGTCTACTTATTTGGGATAAGTACATGGAAGAATTTGAGAAGTTGATGTCAAGCATTGAAAAGCAACAAGAGCAACGACAGAAGATGTTTCTTGATGGCCTTGATTCAATACGTGACCAGATTTTGGCTAGTCCAACTGTCCCTACAGTTGATGAATTAATATCTCGATTACTTCGCCTTGCTGCAACACCCAGTAATCTAATCACAGACACTTGCTCCTTTGTTCTTGCATCACAGATACCGGTGTTCATTATTCGGTTTGGATCGGTTTCCCTAAAAAGAAACTAAACCAAGTCGATTCTTCAAATATTGGAACCAAACCAAACCAATTAAGACGTTTTTTATCGATTCGGTGTATGTCGGTTTGTCTCGATTTTTTGATTTTTTCGATTATTTATCAATTTTTTCTTAAATATGAGATATAACTACCAAACACATATTCCGATGACTACATTTTCAACATAACACTGTCAAACCAATTGCTCTTTGAGAAATCTATCATTTACCAAGATATGTTGATGATAATTGAACTAAATAGTGATGAATAATTTTAAAACTCAACTAAAATAAATTATTTTTAACATGATATAAATTCTTGTACTTAGCAAAAGAAAACTACTAATCAAACTAGAATGTAAAGGCAAAGAATTAGATTAAAAGTGCAAATTATTAAAATGTAACATAAAATTTTAGAAACTTTGTACACACACACACACATATATATATATATATATATAACTACTTCTATATTCGGTTTGGTTCGGTTTTTCGGTTATTTTTTTATTAAAACCAAAACCAAACCACATTTGGTCGGTTTTTAAAATTCAAAACCAAAACCAAACCAAAACGAAAAGGTATCGGTTTTTTTAGTCGGTTTGGTTCTGTTTTTCAGGTTTTTATGAACACCCCTAATCCCAGACTGTGGAAAATTGGGCATTTCAAACTATGGAGAATAGACGAGGAGGAGGTCGTTTTGGAAGATCTCGACCCAAGCGTTCTCATTGTAATAAACTTGGACACACTCGTGAAGTGTGTTATTCTTTACATGGTCGATCACCCAAAAATGCTTATATTGCTCAGATCGAGACTACAGGTAACCATGGATTTTCTTTATCTGAAGGGGAATATAATGAGTTTGTTCTGTATCGAGCCAGTAAGCAGACATCTCCACAAGTAGCCTCGGTTACTCAGACTGATACTTCTGTTGCAGGTAATTCTTTTGCTTGTGTTTCTCAGTTTAGTACTCTTGGACCGTGGGTCATGGACTCAGACGCTTTTGATCATATCTCTAGTAATAAATCACTTTTGTCGAATATTGTGTATTCACAGTCTCTTCCTACTGTTACTTTAGCCAATGTGTTCTAAACTAAAGCAATAGGAGTTGGACAAGATAACCCCATATCTTCTATCACTCTAGATTTTGTTCTTTATGTCCCTGGTTGTCCTTTTAATTGGGCATCTGTTAGTCATTTGACTCGTGCCCCCATTATGGTATATAATTTATTGATGATTCTTTTTTTTTTTGATGAAATAAATTGTTGTATTAAAAGGCATCAAGAAGATGCAAGAGTACAAGAAGCTACTTACAAGAAGTAGATATACAAAAAACAAAAGTGAGTTGCTAGCCCCTATACAATGTCTCAATCTAGGACAAGAGAGCTAATAAACTCCAAAAAGTGTTCAGTACTAACTATTGAGTACAGCTTTGTCCAGCAAAAAAGATTGGTTAAACATTTGGCTTTAATAGAGTGGTTTGGAGTTGAGATGCCATCAAAACATCTTTTGTTTCTCTCATTCCATAGACACCAAAAAATAACTGCAGGTATCATAATCCAGATCTTTTTGATGGACTTATCAACTGGCCAAAGACTCCAAATCAAGTACGCGTCTCTCAGATTTTGTGGCATGACCCAACTCATCCCAAAAATACTATAGAACATGTTTCATATATCAATGGGTACTGGACAGTGCAGGAAGAGGTGACTGATAGATTTCTGGTTCCTCCTGCATAGATAACATCTATTAACCAATTGAAACCCTCTTCTGTTGAGATTATCTTGAGATTATTGATGATTCTTTTATTATGCAAGACCGAGTACGGGACAGACAATTGGCACAGGACGTGAATCACAAGGCCTTTACTACCTTAACTCACTCAATCCTTCCACAGCATGTCCAGTAACAAATCCTCCAGACCTAATTCACACACATTTAGGACATCCGAGTTTATCCAAGCTTCAGAAGATGGTGCATTTTTTGTCTAGTTTGTCTACTTTAGATTATGAGTCATGCCAGCTTGGGAAACATACCCAAGCCACCTTTCATGTAGTGTTGAGAGTCATGCAAAGTCTATTTTCTCTTTAGTTCACTATGATACATGGGGTCCTAGTAGAGTCAGTTCAACTTGGCTTGGATTTTCGTTATTTTGTTAGTTTCATTAATGATTATTCAAGATGTACTTGGCTTTCTTAATTAAATATCGTTCTGAGTTGTTTCCTATATTCCAGAGTTTTTGTGCTGAAATCAACAATCAATTTGGTGTTTCTATTTGCACTTTTCGCAGTGATAATGCCTTAGAATATTTATCCTCTCAATTTTAGCAGTTTGACTTCTCAAGGATTATTCATCAGACATCTTGCCCTTATACCCCTCAGCAGAATATGTTGCAGAAAGAAAGAATAGGCATCTCATTGAGACTTCTCGCACGCTTCCCATTAAGTCTCATGTTCCATTGCATTTTTGGGGCGATGCAATTCTCGCAGCTTGTTATTTGATTAATCAGATGCCTTCATTTCCCATCCAGAATCAGATTCCGCATTGAGTATTATGTCCCTGATCACCCTTATACTCTCTTCTCCTCGTATTTTTGGGAGTATATGTTATGTTCATAGGTTAGCCCTTGGGAAAGATAAGTTAGCTCATCGTGCTCTCAAGTGTGTCTTCCTTTTATTTTTTTTTGATTTGCACCGGGTGTCCGAGTCTCTAAGAACCCCGACTAATCCCGGGGGTCCACAGGCCCTCGGCAAGGAGCTTCCCGCAAGTGTGTCTTCCTTGGTTATTCTCGTGTTTGGATATTGTTGTTACTCATATGATTTTCGTAGGTACCTTATATCAGTTGATGTCATATTTTTGAGTCTAGACTTTTACCTCTTTTGACCACCTTAATATATCTAAGGTCTTGCCTATACCAATCTTTGAGGAGTTTACTATAGCTCTCCCTACACCCTCAGGCACAGAAATTTTACCCATACCAACCATTGAGGAGTCTAGTATTGCTCCTCCTAGATTACCAGCTACAGAAATACCACTCTTGACTTATTGTGGGCGGCGGCACCCAGCATCTGATTCACGTCTTGCACCTAACCTTGCTCCTACTATGAACTGGTCTCCTCCTAGTCCACCGATCGCACTTCGGAAAGGTATACAAATCACACTAAATCCTAATCCCCATTGTGTCGGTTTAAGTTATCACCACCTGTCATCACCCCATTATGCTTTTGTATTTTTTTTGTCCTCTATTTTCATCCTTAAGTCTACAAGTAAAGCATTGTCGCCATCTTGGTCTCATCCAAGATGGCGACAGGCTATGATTGACGAGATGTCTGCTTTACATATTAGTGGTACTTGGGAGCTTGTTCATCTTCCTTCAGGTAAATCTATTGTTGGTTGTCGCTGGGTTTATGCAATCAAAGCTGGTCCGAATGGCCAAGTTGATCGACTTAAGGTCTGTCTTATTGCCAAAGATATACTCAGACATTTCGCCTCGATTACAGGGATACTTTCTCTCCCGTGGCTAAAATAGCGTCAGTCCACCTTTTTCTATCCATGGTTGTTCGCCATTGGCCTCTCTATCAATTAGACATTAAGAATGTTTTTCTTCACGGTGATCCTAAGAATGAAATTTATATGGAGCAACCACTTAGTTTTGTTGCTCATGGAGAGTCTAGTGACCATGTGTGTCGCTTGCGCCGGTCACTTTATAGTCTAAGCCTGGTTTTGTAAGTTCAGCATAGTTACCCAGGAGTTTGGCATGACTCGTAGTGAAGCTGATCTCTCTGTGTTTTATCGGCATTCTGCTTCAAATCTATGTATTTATTTGGTGGTTTATATTGACTATATTGTTATTACCAGCAATGATCAAGATGGTATTACTAAGTTGAAGCAACATCTCTTTCAACACTTTTAGACTAAGGATCTCAGCAGATTAAAGTCGCTTAGTCTAGCTCTGGTATTGAGGTCGCTTAGTCTAGCTCAGATATTGTAATCTCACAACGGAAGAGACATTCTTGAGGAGACATGAATGATAGGTTGTAGACCCATTTGACACTTGGACGGATCCAAATTATAAACTTTTGCCAGGTCAGGGGGAGCCGCTTAGCAATCCTGCAAGATATAGGTGGCTGGTTGGTAAATTAAATTACCTTACAATGACTAGACCTGACATTTCTTCTCCTTTAAGTGTTGTAAGTCGGTTTATAGATTCTCCCCGTGATAATCATTTTGATGTAATTGTTTGCATTCTTATGCAAAGTTAGCTTCAGGCAAGGGTTATTATTTGAGGATCGAGGCCATGAGCAGATTGTTAGATACTCAGATGTTGATTGGGCAGGATCACCTAATGATAGATGTTCTACGTCTAGATATTGTGTTTTAGAAGGAAGGTAATTTGGTGTCTTGGAAGAGCAAGAAACAGAATGGTTGCTCGGTCTAGTGTAGAAGTAGAATATCGAGCAATGGCTATGGCAACATGTGAGCTAGTTTGGACAGTTGCTCAAGGAGTTGAAATTTGGTGAAATGAGCCAGATGGAACTTGTGTATGATAATCAAGTTGCCCTTCATATTGCACCAAATCCGGTGTTTCATGAGAGAACTAAACACATTGAGATTGATTGTCACTTCGTCAGATAAAGGATACTCTCAGGAGATATTGCTACAAAATTTGTGAAGTCGAATAATCAACTTGCAGATACTTTTACCAAGTCCCTATTAGTTACATATGTAACAAGTTCGGTACATAGGATTTGTATGCACCGACTTGAGGGGGAGTGTTAGAATATGTATACGTGTAATTAGTTCTAGTCCTATATATAGTAGGAGTAGATGTATTATATATAGGGCTCACTATATCATTGTTGATACATCAATAATATTTTTTCCTATGTATTATTTCTCACAATTGTAAAGATATTTCTTGTAGCAACAGCGTTCAATAGCATAAATACATACATATTTTTTATTTTTCAACATGTAATTAACATGTATAAACAGTGAAGTTTACCAATCAAAGGGAATTCCCTTTCTGAAAGGTAGATATGTCTGTGCCTGTAAATCTCCTACTTCAGTTAGTCAGCATTCCTTATTGGTTACTTTGCATTGATATGAAAATTTTACCTCAAACCTCTGGTCTTGAGCAATGTGTTCCTCAAAACGCCTTGCTAGTTCTATATGATTTCTTACGTAAGCTTGAAGCTTTTCCAGCCCATAGAGTCTCAATACCATCCACAGCTTCAATGATCTGGTTAATAAACCAATATAGATATTAGAATTAAGAATATATTAGAATTAAGAAAGAAACAAGGCTTGCTTTGAAGGACATAGAAATAACATTATTAGAATTAAGAATATATGTCTTCATAATCTGTATTTTTGCTGTAGATGTAGCCAGTTAGGAAATTTGAATCAATTTATGGACTTTCTAGAGGTGTTGGGAGGGGGAGAATAGTTTGCTGATGTTGTAATTTGGGATGTTTTTCTGTAACTTTAATGTACCATCTTGGTACCTTATTAATAAAAGTTTTACCTTATCAAAAAAAAAAAAAAAAACAATATAGATATGAGATAATTGAAGCCTAATGCTGCAATAAGTTCATATGAACTTCCTAAAAAAATGTTCTTTGAGTATCCTACCAAAGCAAATTGAAATGATGTTGAATTACAGAAAAATTGTAAGAATTCAAGCACTTCATCTTATGAACCATTAAGCTGGTATCACTTTATTTTTTAAAGTCCAAGGTACTACAAAAACCCTCTATGTCAGGCTAACTTTCAAGAGCCATCATAGTATCTGCATAAACAGGTTGTACATGTAATTCTTTCACCCCCTGGAGCAGTAACGCTTATCAGCTCGCAAAATCAGAGATGATGTTACTTTTTCAGTGTCCAGTGTTTCATAGTATTTGTCATTTAGGTTTAAGACATGCTTTCACTGTGTTTCACATTATTTCTTGTTTTGCTTTTAAGGCATGTTTCCACTTGTAACAGCTGTGTGGACTTCGTTGCAGAGCTAACATAAATAAATAATGTGTCTCCTCTCTAACAACTTAAAATTTTAGACGGAGTGGCATACAATTCAACACGCACCAACACGGCACATGCCATAGTGCGATAACCTCGGCAACTAGCAAAATCATTATTTGCTAGCAAACTTTATACAACGTTGATGGCATACCTGAACCTGCGCCCAAGAGGAATTTGCCAGTCTTTGTAATCCACAACCAAGTTTCCTTGAGAAGCCTGGATTATCAAGTTTATCACTATAGGTGAGGCAAAATTTTCACAAGAAAACTGGTTATCATGCATGATTAAACTATTTGACAATGTTGTACCAAAAAGAAAATTCAACCTGTTGAAAAGTAACATTTACTTTCGAAATAACTTCAAAGGAAAAAAGTTACATATTGAACTCCAAAAACAGTTTGTTTCATGCAATAAAAAGCATTTTAATCAGCAGTTTGGCTATCAGATCCGAAGAACTGATAGAGCTGATGCCTCAAAAGCACAAGATAACAAGTTTACAAAACAAATTTAAGTTACAGATCTGCAGAGAAATCCATTCAGTCAAAGACAATGATATGCGTAGCAAAGAACAATTCATAAAAAAGGAGATAAAAGTTTGAAGCCGTCTTCACAAGGGTGAAAGGGAGCTGTCACCAAACTCCTATCAAGCAACACAAGCACTGATCGTTATTGGTTGGGGAAGTAAAAATAACCTGATGCGTGATTACATTTCACAAATTCAATTTCCATGTTCATACTTTGATAAACAAGAAATAAGCCTTATTTTATCTGTGTCAGAAGGTGGAATTATATTATTGTTCCTGATATTATAGTTATTTATTCTACTGACAAAAACTGAAAATATGAGTATTGAACCTAAGGATACTTACTTTGTTTTTGAGAAATTCAGGATTTGTTGACAGTGACTGGATAAGTGCACTCCGGTCCTGTTCAGATGCAAATACCATTAAGCCCAGTTTCCCAAACTATACAAAGTCATGTTATCTCCAGTGTCCAGAAAAGTATGTGTCCAGTAATTGAACTATTAAAAAGATGAATTACCAAAGCAGCAACTCAAACAAAATCTGGCCAACTATAAAGCTGTTTCCAGTATCGGTTAAGATGACATGCATTGCTATTCAGTCAGGAGTATTTGGAGATGTCCTAAGGTCACCGACGTACTCCCGTAATAGTAGAATTGCATACACTTCTATTTAGTTTATGGAATAACACCAGAAGATAGCACTGTACCTTGACCCAGAGAGCTGAACAGTCAAAGTTTGTCAGGAACCACTTATGTGCATTCATGTTGAAAGAATCAGCTTCTTCTACACCATCAATATAGTGCCGGAATTCTGGACAGATACATGCACTTCCAGCGTAGGCAGCATCCACATGAAACCACATGCTATTACTCTGTCAAATAGGCATGTGACTTAGCCTTGTTCCCTATGGACTAGACACTGACTGTATGGACTCACTAGCAATGATGCAAAACAACATGGTTTCAGTACACTGCTGATAATTACAAGACATCTGATACAAAATCATTAATACTTAAGAAACTGAGTTCAAGAATCAAAAGGTTCATTAAATGGCTTACAGGAGCGGACACAGAGAAGTATGAGATGCTTCCATTATCTACTCCACAACATATACAAGATATGTGTTTATGTAGCTTTGGGCATAACGTATATGGTTTGTGCTTGACAACAGTGAGGCTAAACCCTATCTGTTTATGTGTTATGGTTTTAATTTAGTGTGGCATCTTGAAGTGAAGTTCTGAATACTTGAGCTAGTACAACAACCACCCAGTGGAATCCCACAAGTGGGGTCTGGAATACTTGAGCTAGTAGTGAGCAACAAATATAGTGTTGCAAGTAGAGAAATTATCATATCTGTTTCTGTTTGGATTAATGTAAAGAAGTCTATCAATCACAATACAGGGAAAGTTTAGTGATATCTAAATTTGTTGGACACTTAACATTGTTGTTTCATGGTTACAATTCAAAAGCAGCATTTTAGCTTCACTCTAGAGCATCCAAGTACCTTTGGACCTTTAAAATTAGAGAAGTTAATATCTGAGCTAGTGGTGAGTTATATGCAACCCGAAAAAAACGACCGGCCTGAAAAGTTCGTTTTCTGATTCGACCCAAAGCAGAGAACTAAAGTTATGACAAACAGAATTAAAAATATACACTTGAAGTATGTAAATTCAAATTTATACATGAAATATGATGAATGCCGCAATTAATGACTAAATGTAGATAATAAGGGATATCTTAGAGATTATATATCGATTCTGTTGGTCCACAAGGTATAATGAGGAAGCAGCAGAGAAAACACTTAAAGCCAAAGTGAAAATCCCAAGTCCCAACACTGAAAAACCCAACAGTCAAAACGATCCAAATGAAAAAGATTGAACTTCTTGGTTTGCCCATCTAAAAACTGAGAACGAATAAAACAAAGCAGACTGAAATAACCAATGGCCAGCCCTAATTTGAGAAATGGCCATACTTCCTTTCTTCGCCTATAAGCTAAATAAATTATCCCCCCTAACAGATTCTCCCCTCATGATGTCAAACCCCTTTTACCAGGCTTTACCTTGGTAATCTTTCCCAGGGCAGGCAAAGGATCCACAGCAGTGGAAGATGTTGTACCAATCTGTGAATGAATAGCAAAAGACTGCTTTAGCATTTTAGAAATTAGAATCCACAGCAAGGAAATTACATGTCAAAAACAAGCAAAAGAGATGTTAGAAAATTTCAAAATGTGGCATCCTTCAATTTTTACTACACAATAACTTTATGTACTAAATTTACTGTTTTATGCTTTTCACACATCTGAATAAATTCCTAAAGACTGATTACCAACAATTTGCATCCAACACTATAACCAAGCTCACACTCGTGATGTCTCACATTTTAAGCATCTCAAAGTGCTTATATCTCAACCAACTTACTGTCACATAAACAAAAGTAAAAGAACACTTGTGCATGGAAAATCACCGAGATAAGTTTTACTTTTTGTAAATGAGAGAAAGGGTCCTTATTGATGTTATCAATACAGAAATCACTATATGCTAACTAGACAAGCCAATATAAATAGCTTCGTAATTCACTGAAAGGAATGAATACAGAAAATGCAATTTTTTTAAAATGTAAAGGAATATGTATACTAAAAGGTTAGGACAACCTTAAAAAGTCTCAAACTCGAAGTTAAGTTCAAGATACCTATATCCTAACAATGTAAAGTGATCACTATTTGACGTCATCAAAGTTCTGAGGTGGATTTAATGCTTTACTTTCTCTTTTCGAGAACAGGATTCTGCAGTCTTATCTTGTCAGTGAGACCTAAGGGATATGCAGCATCTTACACGAAATGAAAGAGACCCAAGAGTAAACCGAAGAAAAAAGTTCTTTTCCTAATACGTTGAAAGACATGGTTTGGAAGATATACATGGTATCTTCTTTTTTCTATTTTCCTTACAGTAGCACAAAAGAAGAAGGGTATTAAACCAGTGGCCAGGTCATGTGATACAGCTTCTGAAAGTGCGTCAGGAGAAAGAGCATAATCCCTGCATGAGACTGCTTTCAGCATCCGAAAATTCTCAGGATGAATTCCTCCTATCTGCCACAATAAAGAAACGAAAAGTAACTAATCTCAAAGACGAAGCCAATGGGTTAGAGGAAAAAAAAATTATTTGCAGAAAAACATTCTTTTTCGCATGTTTGATGCAGATAAAAATTGGTGAACCGAACATGAATTCCTGTCATCCTCAACCTTTCCTTGTTACTTCTTTTGTCAATTAAATTAGCAATCATGCACAACGTCAAACAATTTTGACATATACCTGGCAAGCTTTCTGTAAAGCAGAATGAGTTTGATCAGAACAATAGACCACCAGTTTTCCAATTGCATCTTTTCCGACCCTTCTCAGAACCTTGTCCCGGGCAGCTAAAAGCACAACTAGAACAGCTTCACTTGCTGTGCCCTGTATGACTCCACCTCCTTGACCTGAAAGTCAATTTCAACAAAAGGAAACCATTTTGTATGGCCAATCAACTCCCCTGGTTGACCATAGCAAAGATGTCTTTTGGAAATGGTGGACATATTTAAGTTGATCATCCATCTTCCAACCAGTTTATAAAAGTAAGGTTCTATTCCCTCCGAACTTTTCGCCTATCTCAATTTTCTAGTACACAACTTTTAACCAAAACTCAAGATAAAGTGTGCTCAAAGAGAAGTTGCCTGTAATATCAAATTTTCATCTTGTTCCAATAAGTGCCAAACAAACGATTCATATTTACAAATGTTTTGCACACATATCTGCGATTTGACTTTTTCGAGTGAGTGGAAGACAAGGGTCATTACCTGTTGAAAGGAATTCATCGGGCAACTTAAGTGCTTTAGCAAGCCAATCCAAAACGATCATTTCGAGCTCGGTTGCTGCTGGGGAAGTTATCCAACTAAAACCAACCATGTTAATCCCGGCACTGAGCATCTCCCCCAAAAATCCAGCTACACTACTATTAGAAGGAAAATATGCAAAGTAATCTGGGCTCTGCCAATGAGTCACCCCCGGTAATATTTTTGTCTGAATATCTGGATCAAATGGCACGAGATCCAAATTACACGCCTGCCATCCTTTCTTTTTAAGACGACACAAGATGTCAAATGATTCAATAATTTCAATTATACACAAAATTATTAGATATTTCACCTTCAAGAACGTCTTGCAATGTCTCAGAATGAGCAGGTGCGGTTTCAGGAAGTAGCTTACGTAGATAACCGGGCTGTGAAGAGACAAGGCGTGGAAACAATCAATAACTGATTATTAACAACTAAACAGAACTCTTAGGATGAACGATGATTTCTCATATGTTGACCAACTAGGATAGTAAGACATGTATGCATTCTAAAAGGAGTGAGCTTTACTAATATCATTCAAAATAGGTTTGTTAATTTCTAGTAAATTCACCACAATGTATTTAAAAGGATTGTGCATGGGAAATAAACTGAAGGTTGTTATAGAAAAACCTGAACTTGACTGAGAACAGGAAAGTTCTCGATATTCTTGTAATAATCAGCAATGAAATCCACCATTTTGTGACCATATTCTCTCAGTTGCTCTGCATCCATGGGCTTCAATTCACCCTCCCTAACCATAACAAACAAAGAAAAACCCCTAACTTATACACAAAATCACATTCATCAAAACATAGCAAACATAACTCTAAAGTCAGAATTTTATTTTTGCAGATTGGCACTTACATTTTCGTTCTCAGTTAATGTATGAACTCAGCGAAAAAATGAGAGTGAAAAGACTAGTGGTGTGGACTGGAGGGAGGATGAAATCGCAAATGATGCAGCAAGGGACAACTGGAAGACGTCAATCTCCCACGTTACATTTACCAACTCCTCTTCTTTCAGAGGAAGATGGGTTTTGAGTGCATCTTCTTATCTAAAATTTTGATTTTATTTTATTCTATAATTGAAGTTAGTACTATTTATTTAATTAAACGTGTATATATTTTATATTTTAACACTTACTTATATAAATTTAGATTGAAGTTCTATTTTATGTTAGAACATTTTTGTGACGGTCTTATGATTTAAGTGGTCTTATTTTTTGATTTGCAAATAGGAAATATTACTATGCTTCTAACTAAAATTAAAAAATACGGCCAAATTAATTAAGTAGTAGTAATAGATATGTGGTCCTTTCTTATTATTCTTTTGCATCTCCTCATTATTTTTACACAATTGGCTCCTTTTAGTAAAATCTCACTTTGTGAATAACCAATTTGTGCGCATTGCCATTATTTGGTATAGCAACACATATTTGTATGTGTTTCCTTTTCTTTTCTTTTTTTGATTCTTTCTTTCTTCTTCTTTTTTATCTAAGATTCCAAAGTAATTAATTAAAGTGAGTGCGATAAATATATGTTTTTAAAAGAAAAATAGTTCATTTTCTTAGGCCAAAAGAAAATAATTCATTATCATTATTAGAAATAGTTTCAGGAAACTAATCGCATCGTTTTCGAAAAGGGATGCATACACAGATACACTAGCGGACAAAAACATGATCCATGTGAACTTTTATATATAAAATAGAGAAAATACATAAATTGCCCATCAAATTTGTTCGAAAAAATTATTTACACACCTTAACTTTACAGGCGACCTATGTCCCCCTATTTTTGTTTGGGGTGAATTTAATACCCCATTGATAACACTTAGTCACTCTTGTGGTGGGATGACACTACACGCGTTCCACGTGTCAAAAGCTATTTTATTTTTATTTTTCACTTATTTAATTACTTTTTTATTTAACTCTTTTTTTCCATGTCATCTTCATCACCACCTACACCACCATGGAACCAGCTCTAAACCACCTTAAAAAGCTGCAAAAATAGAAAGAAAACCCCAAAGCAGTAGCCATGTCTTTATAACGACCCGACGTGTCATTTTGAGCTCTAGCGCGTCGTTCAGCAGTTTGGGGCCATGAGCAGCTTCACTTCAGGTATTATGACTTGTACGCATGGTCGGAATTGAATCCTGGGGAATTCGGAGTTGATTTGGAAAGGGAATTCTTATTTTGAAAGATTTAAGTTGAAAGAATTGACTAAGATTGGATTTCAAAGTAATCGACCTCGGAATCGGGATCTGAAGGTTCCAGTAGGTTCGTATGATGATTTCGGACTTGGGCGTATGCCCGGATTGGATTTTGGATGACCCGGGGGCATTTTGGCGCCTATTGTGGAAGTTAGCATTTTGGAAGAAATTTCATAAGTTTGGGTTGAAGTGCATTTCAGTGTTATCGATGTCCGTTTGGGATTCCGAGTCTGGGAGTAGCTCCGTATGGTGATTCTGGAGTTGGGAGCGCGATCGAAAGTGAATTCGGAGGTCCGTAGGTCATTTTAAAGTCATTTGGCTAAAGATAGAAATTTGAAGGTTTTTGAGAAGTTTGACTGAGAGTTTGACTTTTTGATATCGGGGTCGGATTCCAATTCCAAAAGTTGGAGCAGGTCCGTAATGTCGCTTTTGTGCAAAATTTGAGATCAATCGGACGTGATTTGACGGGTTTCGGCATCGAATGTAGAAGTTTGAAATTTTAAAGTTCATAAAGTTTAGATTGGAGTATGATTCATGATTTCGACGTTGTTTGATGTGATTTGAGGCCTCAAGCGAGTTCGTATCATGTTTTGGACATGTTGGTATAATTGGTTAAGTTCCCAGGGGCCTCGGATGGATTTCGAAAGGTTAACGGAATGAATTTCGGACCAAAGAGTTGCTGAAATTTTCTGCAGAAAGTTGTTTTGACAACAACTAGTGCAATCGCGGAGCTGGATTTGGAAGCTTATATCTTGAAATTTATAAGGAATCTGAAAATTTGCAAAACATAAAAGTTTTTTTCCTTGCATTCTAGTTTTCAGAAAGATAAATCATTTACGATTTGGACATTTTATCAGAAAGTTATGATCGATTGAAGATGGCTGATGGAGCAGTTTCGACAGAATTTTCTGATACATGAAGCCAATTTTAGAAGCTCATATCTCGGAATATATAAAGAGTTTATGGTATGCAACCTATCAAATGAAAGATCTTAGAGTCTAGTTTCTAAATCTTCAAATCGTTTATCATTTGGATATTTCCACAAGGAGTTATGGGCGTTTTAACAGAAGGTGTACAGCAGGGAAAATTGTAATAGGATGTACAACATGCACTGTGCAAGGTACAACTCGATGAAGCCTAGGCAGATTGTTTTAAACACGAGTTTTGGCCCATTTCTTTCATTTCTTTCATTTGGCTTGGGCCATTTTGGAGCTTTTTGAGAGGATTTGAAGAGGGATTCAAGAGATAACACCTCGAGGTAAGATTTTTGAACTCAATACTCGATTCTTATGTAAATTCTACCTAATTAATCATGGAAATTAAGCCTAAAATTGAGGAATTACGGCTTTGAATTTGGAGAGTATAAATTGGGGATTTGAAGGGACAATTGAGGTCCGATTTTGAGGTTCTTGGTATGTATAGACTCGTGAGAGGATAAGGAACCTATTGATGTAAAATTTATCGGAATCTGAGACGTGGGCTCGGGGGCGGGTTTGAGCAATTTCGAGATTTTTGTTGTAAATTGGATATTTTCGAGTGGGCTTTATTCCCTTAGCATATTTTAATGGTTATGTACTGATTATGGCTAGATTTGGAGCATCCGGAGGTCGATTCGTGAGGGCAAAGGCATCGCGGGCTAGAGTTTGGACCGGATCGAGGTAAGTAATGATTGTAAACACTGTCCTGAGGGTTTGAAACCCTGGATTTCACCTCGTTGTGCTATTTTAAGGTGACACACACTCTAGATGACGAGCGTGGAGTCGTGCACCGTTGGGGATTGTGATTTGGCCCGTCCCGTACAACTGTCAAGTCGCATATTTGATTTGAATCTTATGATATTCCATATTTTAGAGATTGATATTATATTTTGGGTTGTATGCCATGTTTGGAGCCTTGTGCTGACCTATTAAGACCCTTAGGGGCATTTTCACTACTTTTTCTCACTCTATTTGTTTTGAAAGAATATCCTCAGTCATGTTTTACCTGTTATCGTTTAAATCTAGTTTTGTCACTTTACTTCTTAAAATGTGAAAACTGTTTGGACTGAGTTCCCTAATTTACTAATGGCACGAGTGATTGTGAGGTTGATGACTGAGATAGACCGAGGGTCTGATTGTGAGGTTGNGATCCCCTCCGGAGTCTGCTCATCCCCAGTGAGCGCCGTCGACGAGATATATAGATCGGGCTGCACGCCGCAGCGATATATGGATCGGACTACGGACCACAACGGTTACTATATGGTACCTATTGAGTGTGAATGCTGAGTGTGAGCGCTGACCAGTAAGAGTGAGTCATGAGTGACTAAGAGGCTTGGCCGAGGGGCTATAGATATACATGTACATGAGTGATACTTTGCCTGAGGAGCCTGTTAATGAACTTACTATTTTTCACTCCTCCTTAAAGTGAGTTTTATCGAATATGTTGATTTAATTACTGCTTTCACTCATCTTTAGACCGAGCCTCTATTGAAAATGTTGGGCAAACGCTTTAAACAACTTTCATTCAAACTGAAGTTTTTAAGTTATGAAATGGGTATAAATTCTGTTTTGCCGAGGGGCTGTATACGAACTATGTTTTGCCCGAGGGGCCGATTATGATTTTCATCACTTCCACTATAAATATATATATTTCATTAAACCTATATTGAAAAGGTTAGAAAGATAAATTTTAAAGGATTTTACTGAAGTTGGGAGTTTAATGAAATGATTTGAATGGTATCCTGATTTGGGAACATGTTGTAATCAGTGTGGTGCTATGACATGGTTGACGTGTTTCTTACTGCTCAGTCTTTATTTACTCTTATTACTTACTGGGTTGGAGTACTCACATTATTCCCTGCACCTCATGTGCAGATTCAGGTATTTCGGAACCCGGTAGCGGGTGTTAATTGCTCAGAGGCGGAGTCGTCGGAGTTAGCAAGGTGGCTACACGACGTTCGCATCATTGCTTTCCTTCCTCTCATTATAATTATTGTATTTAGTATATTTTTAGACTCTGGTTGTATTCGGACCTTGGTAGATGCTCATGACTAGTGACACCCTGATGGCAAGCTTGTGTAATTATTCCGCATTTTTCTTTAAAATTTCATTATGAGAACTATTGTTTATAAATGGTATAAAAACAACTTTTATTGGAAAAATGGTTGATTCGGGAGTTTCATCAGCTGGCCTAGTTTCATGATAGGCGCCATCACGACCGGGTCGGTTTTGGGTCGTGACAAGTTGGTATTAGAGCACTAGGTTTCCTTAGGTCTCACGAGTCATGAGCAAGTCTAGTAGAATCTCGTGGATCGGTATGGAGACGTCTATACTTATCTTCGGGAGACTACAGGGCTGTTATGAGCATTTCCCTTTTTGATTTCTTTATCGTACGACTTGATTCCTTGAGGCTTATGACCTTGTTTCCTTCCTACTAAATCTTACGCGATGTGAACCGCTTGTTATAAATCGAGAATTGAAGAATTGTAATGGTACTACAGATGTGGTGCGGGATGTTTCTCTCGGTATAGTTGGGTGAGCTATTGTCGTCGCCTTGGGGAAAGAGTTTTCTATCGTTTCGGCTTGATAGTTGTGCTTCTAAGAGCTTGGAGGCTATGCACATGTTTCTATGATGCTCGCAATTAGTTATCTCACAGTATTGACTTGATGGTAGGAGACATGCCTATGTGTTGGGGTAGTGAATGAGTTGAAAGGAAATCTACCCAGTGCACGATTCAGAGATATGATATTTCACTTCCGGTGGAGGAAAAACAATTGGCCTATGAATGTCCAAATTTGGGGTGATGGAGCAACGAGACTTGGTAATTTCGAGCATGGTGGAATTTTTATCTGCGATGTAGTGT